GGACGCTATTCGAACGAATAACCAACAGTCGAAGCAATAACCAGTAATAACTTTCGAGCGAATAATTGCCTCGTAAGAGATGAGCTTGAGAAACGAATCACGCGCAACGAGTTGAGTACAGATTCGACAATTCGGTCGGTTAGACCAACGAGAACCAAAATGGCGGTAATGCGTTAGCGAGAGAGCTCGTTTCACGAAAGAAGGAACTGATCGGTTCGAAACTTGGGAAACATATGCGGGTACCGTGCATTGAAACGAAGCCAGCATCGTCTCTGTTGAATGCACCGTGATAATATGCATAATTAATCTCTCTCTCTCTCTCTCTGTCTTTGTCGTGCAATGAATGCGTTCGCGTGTAACGATTGCGTAGCATCGATGGAGATGAAGCTTCGAGCGAAAAAGAGAAGAAAGAAGGGAGAAAGATTCGAGCAATTGTTAGCAAGTACCTTCGCAAGATTCGCGAAGAGTGGAAGGAATTTCGCGAGAAATTGGGAGAGACGCGTTGAATACCGGCGAAGGGGGGCCAAAATCGGCTGAAAAACCGACGAGGAATCTCGTATGACGGGGAAATATTAATTACAGGCGTTTTTAATTACACCAGTCAGCTATGAGGCAACTAACAGCGCACTCCCACCACAGAGATCGACCTTCCAATCCTGACACTGCCTGGGTGTACTTTAAGAACCGTTCCCCCTTCTACCGCTTCCCAAACAGTCGGACGATGCCGACAAAAATATTCGCATGGTGCGTGGTGCGGCTCCCTTGCTCCTCGGACCCTCCAGCCCTGCGGGATCTCTCTCCCTTCTGGCACACATCGTGTTCGAAAACAGCCGCGAAGCGAGGTAGAAGCTTCCTCTCGAAGCTTTCTCTGGAAAGGATCCCTTGGAGGGCTATCCCCACCAGGAGGGCTCGGACGGATGGTCGGTCGTTCAAACTGTGGAACGCGGTTGGAATCACGGAGCGAATGAGACGCCGCTAGATGAGCCTCTCCGTAGCTATCTCTCCCTTTGATCCTTTCTCCGCTTCCTCCGGGCTCCTCGTTTCTTTGTCGATCGTTCCGCGAATCGTTCCCTTCTTCGTGTGTTGAACCTGTGGGTGATACGTGGGCGGCCCCCGATGCGAACGTTCAGCCAGCAGGATATATACATGTATGTGTGTGTGCGTGTGCGTGTGTGTGTGT